AATATTGTGTCCAATTCTGTGCAGACTGCATTATATGTCAGTGTAGGTCCAACCTCGCTCCTTTAAAGTTCAGACTACAAGCCAGAGTGGTTTAATCAGGCCCCGGACCACCAGATGCCCCAGTTTCCAAGCACATGCCAAAGAAGATGAAGAACGATCCAAGAGGAGTCAAGAATGCTTGCTTTGCTTTTCTCCCTCCAGCGACGCATTCAATCTTCTTGCAGCGTTGAGCGTCTCCCAGCCTTCTTTAATCTAAAGCTCCAGCCAGCCTGCTATTAATAGACACCAGGGAAGAAATGATGCCCGGAGAGCAGTGCTCCATCCTTCAATGGGATTACAGCTAAACAGTGTGTTGAAATGTTTGAAACACATGTTCTGGATTGTCCTGTTTGGCTCTCGCCACTCAAAACAGGACAGCTAGACCTTTTGAGGACATTTGGCCAAAGGCTGGCTCTATTTCCATTGCCATTCTTTATTGTTTCAGCTGTAAAACTTGGCTTTTGCTTCAAGGTTACACTGTGGTAGTTTGATGGTGACAGCAAAACAATATTCCACATTTAAGTGCTTTTTGTTTCATTTATCTCTCTCTGGGACTCTTCAGAAAGCAGCTCTCCGAAATACATAAATTTCCCCAACTATTCCATTTCTCTTTCTGCAAACTAGTCAAGACCTTTTCCTTTGATGGATTTTACTCTTATGGAGAGGATATATTCCGTTTTACTTTCTAAAAATTAAAATGTTTTGATTATGTTGTAATTGTATTTTTAATGATTTTAAATCCTTTCCTGTGTTTACAATACCTTATAATATAATGCCTGTTTATATACCTTTTGCAAAACAGGTTGAGTATCCCTTATCTGAAATTCCAAAATCCAACATATCCCAAAATTGTGATACCTTTGCTTTCTGATGGTTCGATGTATACAAACTTTGTTTTATCCACATAATTATTATAAATATGTGTACAAAATTACCTTCAAGCTATATGTATATGAACCATAAATAAATTCTGTTCTTTCACTTTGATCCTAACTCAAAAACATCTCCTTTTATGTATGCAAGTATTCAAAAAATATAAAGAAATCCAAAATCCAAATAATTTCTGTTCCCAAGTATTTTGGATGAGGAATGCGCAATCTATAAAACATTTGGAAAACCTGGGCTTAGTACAGTGGGTTAAACCACCAAGCTGCAGAAAATCTAGTCAATCAGAAGGTTGGCAGTTCAAACCTGGGTTGGAGTGAGCTCCCGCTGTCAGCCTCAGCTTCTGCTCACCTAGCAGATCGAAAACAGCAACGTGAGCAGATAAATAGGTACCGTTTTAAGCAGGAAGGTAGTAAAAGGTGCCCATAAGGACATGCCAGCAACTTGATCGGGAGGACGTCTATAGACAACAATGCTCCTCGGCATGGAAGATGGAGCAACACCACCTCCCTGTGGCTGGAGCTGAGCACATCCTCCAGATGCCGGAGATGGAAAAAGATGGTAACGTCTTTACCTTTGTTTATGTACTATCTGTCCTTGTTACTGTATAATGGCATTGAAAGTTTGTCATATATGTGTTCTGTAATCCGCCCTGAGTCCCCTCGGGGCGATAGAGTAGAATATAAATAAAGAAGATTATTATTATTATTATTATTATTATTATTATTATTATTATTATATTTTCAGGCTCTCTGGTGGGAGACATTGTTCTAGAATCATCATCATCATCATCATCATTTAATAACTTATTAATCGCCCTCCATCTGAGAATGCTCCAGGCGATTTACAGCTAAATTACAAAAGATAAAATCCATACATACAAAAATTAAAAATCAACAGAGATCGAATGCTCTAGTAAAAAGCCAGGTCTTAAGTGCGAGAGTAAAAGGCCCTAAGTCACGCATGGCTCTCACATAGGGCGGCAAGGAATCCCACAAGGCAGGGGCAGAAATAGAAAAAGCCCACCTGCGTCTGGTCCTTTCCAAGGGCACTTCTCTCGGACCCGGTCTATGGAGTAAGTCACGTTGGGCTGGTCGTTGCGACCTCCGATGATGGGAGAAGGAGAGGCGGTCCCTAAGGTACGATGGACCCTGGCCGTAAAGAGTTTTAAAGGTCAGAACTAGCATCTTATACAGGCCACAGTACTCAGTTGGAAGCCAATGTAAATGTTGCAGCACTGGTGTTCTATGGCATTTCATGGGCGTCTTGTGAGTAACCTGGCTGCCGCATTCTGAACAATACGGAGCTTTCGGGTCGTAGACATCGGAAGGCCCACATACAGGGCGTTGCAATAGTCCAGCCTAGATGTGACCGTGGGCCCTCTTAGCTCAGGGACTTCCATTTTAACTGTCCAGATTTGTTACAAAAATATCCAATTACTCCTTCACCATCCGACCTTTTCAGCTGGTTTTAAAGTTTTCCAGTTTCTCTCTCCCTCCTGCTTTCCCTCTTCCTCCTCAGCTCATTTTATTTGCTGCAAACTGAGTTCAAAGTGCAAAAATTAATTGCATCCAATTAATTCAGCAGCGGAAGAGAAGGGAGTCGAATTTTGCACTTCTCTGGATGCGCAATGTTGTGCTGCTCCAATTTTATGGATGTTTCCTCCTCAATCATCAGGTTCTGCTTGGTCACAGGTATTCTGATTTTCCTCTGTGAATTGTTGGGAGGTATGCCACCCTACTCTCCTAAATAAGTACAAAGTCAAACCATGCACCCCCCCCCCCCCCCCCCCCCCGTACAGTAGACTCTCAGTTAACTGGAACCCATGAGGGCTGGTAGAGGCTAGATAAATGTAGTTTTTGGTTTGTTGAGACTTACTAATAGGTCTATGTAATACAGCTTTAATCTTCTTTTGGCAATGTTTTTATTAAAAATAGCAAAAGAGGCACAAGGAAGGACAAGGGTGCATCTACACCAGACATGGGCAAGCTTCGGCCCTCCAGGTGCTTTGGACTTCAACTCCCACAATTCCTAACAGCTTCAGGCCCCTTCCTTTTCCCCCTCAGCCACTTAAATATAACTGGAGGGCTGAAGTTTGCACCTCCCTGATCTTACACTGTATAATTAATGCTGTTTGACACCCCTTTAACTACTATGCTATGAAATCAAGGCGGTTGCAGTCTTAGTGTTCTCTGGCAAAGAGTGTTGGGTCCCCCATCAAACTATAATTCCCAGGACTCCATAGCATTGAACTAAGGCTGCTAAAATTGGGCCAAATTGCAATAATTTTACAGTTTAGAGGCACCCATAGCCTGATTCCTCCCATTCCGATTGGAACCACACAATTTGTGTAGTCCTTCCCCTTGTTACACTGGGCAAAAGCAGAGGCAAACACTTGGGGTTCCAAAAATGTTTATGATCATTGAACGTGAAAAGAAGAAGGTTTATGACTCTCAGCTTGACCTTGAAGCAGATTTTTCCAGATCCAACGTTGTTTTGTTAATTTTGCATTCCCCATTTCCTTTCTTTATATCTGTAAAGAAAACGCCCAAAGTTCCTGTTCCTGTTCGTATATTGTGTGCAAGCCCTCATCCTGATGAATATGGCATACTGTAGACTCTCAGTTAACCAGAACTCAAGCAACCAGAACCCACAAGCAACTGTCAGAATATCAAAGAAATAATACTTTAAATAAGAATAAAAATAAAATATATTGTCGAAGGCTTTCATGGCCGGAATCACTGGGTTGTTGTAGGGTTTTTCAGGCTGTATGGCCATGGTCTAGAGGCATTCTCTCCTGACGTTTTTCCTGCATCAATGGCAAGCATCCTCAGAGGTAGTGAGATCTTTTGGAACTAGGAAAAGAAGTTTATATATCTGTGGAATGACCAGGGTGAGACAAAGGACTCTTGTCTGCTGGAGCTAGGTGTGAATGTTTCAACTGACCACCTTGATTAGCATATAATGGCCTGACAGAGCCTGGAGCAAACTTTTTGTTGAGAGGTGATTAGATGTCCTTGTTTGTTTCCTCTCTGTTGTTGTGCTGTTGTAATTTTAGAGTTTGAAAATACAGATTTTAATAAAAATCTGGCTACCAGTATTAAAAAACTCTAAAATTAAAACAGCAAAACAGCAGAGGGAAAACCATCAGGGACATCTAATCACCTCTGAACAAAAGTTTGCCCCAGGCTCTGTCAGACCATTATATGCTAATCAAGGTGGTCAGTTGAAATATTCACACCTAGCTCCAGCAGACAAGAGTCCTTTGTCTCACCCTGGTCATTCCACAGATATATAAACCCATTTTCCTAGTTCCAACAGACCTCACTAGCTCTGAGGATGCTTGCCATAGATGCAGGCAAAACGTCAGGAGAGAATGCCTCTAGACCATGGTCATATAACCCGAAAAAAAACCTACAACAACCCAAAAATAAAATACATTTTACTGCCACTTAATTGAATACTTCATTCACAGTACTATTTTAATAATACAATAAAGCTGTATTACATAGAGTTATGTTTTTATTTCATGTTTTAATTTGCTTTTAAGTACTGTAATTCAATATTGATATCATTAATACAGAGTTTACGATATGGTACAGGATGGGGCATAGTATTAGACCTATTAGTAAGTCTCAACAAACCAAAAACTACATTTATCTAGCCTCTACCAGCCCTCATGGGTTCCAGTTAACTGAGAGTCTACTGTATTCAGATGGGTGCCAACACCAAGTAGACCGGACTCAAAGGTATCTGTCTATCTACACCAAATCTGTTGCATATCTAGATCTCAAGCAAGAACAATCTGTGCAAAAAAAATCAGTCAGATATGTTCTTTGCTTTCACACCATTGTATGCATCTGGGTGCAGATGTTGAGGCTCAGCAGCAAGAGGCTGGGGATTTCTCAGAGGACGAGGGGGATGATGGGTTTTCCACTAAGAAGTCTGTGTGTGATCAGAGTGGTTTGCAGGCCTTAGATCAGAGAGAAATGCAGGCAGTTGAAGATGAGACAGAGGACGTTTTGGATTCCAGTGTTTGTTCCTTAGTTCATTTCTCATAGGAATCGGCTTTCAGCAGATGAGGAGTTATCCTGTGATATCAGATTAGGCCTCCGCACAGAGGGAGTGAAGGATAGATTAATTAGGCATTCAGAAAGACTCTGGGAAGTCCTTGAAACCCAGGTGTTAGAGGCATAATCTGGCTTCTTGGTTGGGCCTGAGCTTAAATTAAGTGATGCTTACTTGGTATCTCCAGAGCAGACAACGTTGCCATCAATTCAAGTTCCTGGTTCAGATCTCAAGCTCATGATTCAAGTGTCTTGTGTTTGTCTATGTTTCTGAAGGAGTTTGCCTTGGAAAAAGTTTCTGTTTTCATGCTTAGGGATTTATGCCTATGATCGCATAGATCCCTAAGCATGACCTTGCTATTTTGGCTACTGTTCTTTTGTATATAGATGACTGTTCTTTTGTATATGGACTACTGCTATGTTATAGCTCCTTCTCTATTGCGTTTTGGGGAATGCCCTTTCCCCCTTTTGTACATGCTTTTTTTTTTTAATAAACTGCTGTAATTAGTACTACTGGGACTTTGGTGTGGTGCTGGGTGAAAAAGGTGTTCCAAGGCTATAGTGCAACAGCAGAAGAGCAAATAAGAATTGTACACATTGTAGCACTCCATCAGTATTTGTGCAATTGCTCATACAGCTGCACTCATGGCTTCTTCCCACTTTTGGGGGGATCCGATCCAGTGTAAACAAGGGAGTCGATGCAGATCATGGCTTTCTGACTTCAAACGAAAGAGAGATGCTTGTCCTCTGGAACGTTGTACTTCAGTTTATGGTCTTCGAAGAGCTTGCTCAGCTCCTCCATGTACAACTGGTGTAAGTCGTCCACTTCTTCTTGGCTGGGGTTGGGATTCTTCTCAACACTGATGGGTTTGCCAACTGGGAGGAAGAGTGGGGTGAACAGGGAAGGGAGATAAGCAGGAAGAAAGAAAACATTGACTGAGATCCTTCATGGTGCTTTCATGGTGCACGTCAGCAGAATCATAGAGCTGGAAGAGAACCCCGGCGCCATCCAGTCCAACCCCCTTTTATTCCATGATTCTAGATCAGGCGTGGGCAAGCTTGGGCTCTCCAGGTGTTTTGGACTTCAACTCCCACAATTCCCATGCCTGATCTAGATCATATGGTTACTGTTATTTTGTATTGACTAATAATGGCCTCCCAACAGCATCTCTACATCTCTGGTTTTGCATTTTTATATCTATAATAGCCATCCCCTGCCACACGTTGTGGTGGCCCAGTCTGGTGATCTGGAAAATAAAGTAATGAGAAAGTGCTGGTTTCTAATATATGTAATTTCCTGATTTTTGTGGGTAAGCAGTATTTTTTCTTGTTTCTTTGTCAGTGTTGATGTAGAGATTGTCTAGTTTGCCTATCTGGAACATGCAACATAAAATTGTCCTTCTTTAGGGGTCCCTCTCAAATCTATGATACTATATCTGTCATATACATATATATGTGTGTGTGTGAATCATATCTATCTATCTATCTATCTATCTATCTATCTATCTATCTATCTATCTATCTATCTATATCTATATCTATGGCTGGATGGCTCTTTGTCAGGAGGGCTTTGGTTATGTTTTCTTGCCCTGGTGAAGAGAGCTGGACTGGATGGCCTTAAAGCAGCATTTCTCAACCTGAGGTCAGGACCCCTGCAGAGGTCATAAAGGGGTGTCAGAGGGGTGAACTATAGGTGAACTATAAATCCCTACAAGTACAACTTCCAAATGTCAAGGTCTATTTCCCCCAAACTCCATCTGTGTTCATACTTGGACATATGGAGTATTTGTGCCAAGTTTAGTCCAGATCCATCATTGTTTGAGTCCACAATGCTCTCTGGGTGTAGGTAAACTATAACTCCAAAACTCAAAGTCAATGCCCACCAAACCCTTCTACTATTTTCTGTTGGTCTTGGAAGTCCTGTGTGCCAAGTTTGGTTCAATTCCATCATTAGTGGAGTTCAGAATGTCTTTTGATTGTAGGTGAACTATAAATCCCTGCAACTACAACTCTATTTCCCCCAAACTCCATCTGTGTTCATATTTGGACATATGGAGTATCTGTGCCAAGTTTGGTCCAGATCCATTATTGTTTGAATCCACAATGCTCTCTGGATGTAGGTAAACTATAACTCCAAAACTCAAGGTCAATGCCCACCAAACCCTTCCAGTATTTTCTGTTGGTCTTGGAAGTCCTGTGTGCCGAGTTTGGTTCAATTCCATTTTTAGTGGAGTTCAGAATATTTTTGATTGTAGGTTTACTATAAACTCCAGCAACTACAACTCCCAAATGACAAAATTGATTTTTTGAGTGATGGTCACTCATTGGGTTGTTAGGCGTATTCTGTCCAAATTTGGTGTCAATTTGTCCAGTAGTTTATTTATTTATTTATTTACAGCTTTTATATTCCGCCCTTCTCACCCCACAGGGGACTCAGGGCGGATTACAGTGTACACATATATGGCAAACATTCAATGCCAATTTTGACATACAACGTATACTGACATACACAGAGGCTATTTAACTTTTCTGGCTGCCAGGGGGGCTATCGCTTTCATCATCCATCTGCGACGCTGATGAAATACTTCCGCATTCCCCGCGTGCTTTGCTGGAATGCTTTGCTGGAGTCTTTTTTATGGCCTCATAAATTAGTTAATTTAGCCTCCTCACACAAGGTGGTACCTAATTTTCCTACTTGACAGATGCAACTGTCTTTCAGGTTGCAAAGGTCGACAACAGGCTACACGATTGGTTGGAAACCCACTCCAACCCAGGCTGGCTTCGAACTCATGACCTTTTGGTCAGAGTGATCTTAATGCAGCTGACACTCAGCCCACTGCGTCACAATCCTGGTGGTTTTTGAGTTATGTTAGTCCCACAAACAAACAAACAAACAAGGACATCTAATCACCTCTCAACAAAAGTTTGCTCTAGGCACTGTCAGGCCATTATATGCTAATCAAGGTGGTCAGTTGAAACATTCACACCTAGCTCCAGCAGACAAGAGTCCTTTGTCTCACCCTGGTCATTCCACAGATATATAAACCCCTTTTCCTCGTTCCAACAGACCTCACTACCTCTGAGGATGCTTGCCATAGATGCAGGCGAAACATCAGGAGAGAATGCCTCGAGACCATGGCCATATAGCCCAAAAAAATCTACAACAACCCAATGATTCCAGCCATGAAAGCCTTTGACAATACATTGAACACTAAGGGTTACCTGTCTGCCTTTTTGCTGCAACTTCATACTAATTGTGTTTGTCAGAGAGCCACAGGCTGCCACTATTTGAGGCCAACCTTGATCTATCTCATTAAAGGTCTTCTGCCACAAGGGGTGACCAAAGTAAGTAAAAGCACTGAGACGGTCCAAACAAGGTGTCAAACAATTACAGGTAATTGCCACCTGTCAAATCCCATCAGAGAAGGTGACTTTACTTGTAGGGACCTGCCTTTTTGAATTAACTTGTTGAAAAGGACTGGCTGGATTTGTCCCAGCCATGTCTGCCAAACTATAACTCGTCCACTGCAACCAAATACGAGAGGATGCAGAAGAACTGTTAGCTTCAGTATCAAAAGTAGGATCGCTGATTGTTTGGGAATGTTGGGGGCATCCAGCAGTAAAACAAGGGCCCAGATTGTCCGGGAAGGAGTGTATATTCTGCATGGAACTGGGAACCTAGGTTGTTAAGATGAATCATGGAATGCAATAAACTGGATCCCCATTATTTGGACATACAGCATAGATCTGGATTCCCATATTATTTGTAGGGTATGTTGGTATTCAACACAGACATGCACACAAAGATGCACAAAATAGGATCATTAATTGTGTTGCTGTGAGTTTTCCAGGCTGTATGGTCATGTTCCAGAAGCATTCTCTCCTGATGTTTCACCCACATCTACGACAGCCATCCTCAGAGATTCTGAGGTCTGTTGGAAAGTAGGCAAGTAATCTATATAAATAAAAATGTAATCCTCAGTTCTTGTGGGTTTTTTCGGGCTATATGGCCATTTCTCCTGACGTTTCTCAGGAGAAGGCATTTCTCCTGAGGCATTTCCTGAGGCATCTCCTGAGGCATCTCGGAGGCATTTCTCCTGACGTTTCGCCTGCATCTATGGCAAGCATCCTCAGAGGTGCCTCTAGAACATGGCCATATAGCCCGAAAAAGCCCACAAGAACTGAGTGATTCCAGGCATGAAAGCCTTCGACAATACATTAAAAATGTAATGTTCATTTGTGGTATTAACAGAACTCAAAAACCACTGAACGAATTGACACCAAATTTGGACACAAGACACCTAACAACCCAATGTATGTCCTTCACTCAAAAAATTGATTTTGTCCTTTGGGAGTTGTAGTTGCTGGGATTTATAGTTCATCTACAATCAAAGAGCATTCTAAATCCCACCAACGATGGAACTGAATCAAACTTGGCACACAGAACTCCCATGACCAACAGAAAATACTGGAAGGGTTTGGAGGGCAGTGTCCTTTAGTTTTGGAGTTGTAGTTCACCTACATCCAGAGATCACTGTGGACTCAAACAATGATGGATCTGGACCAAACTCTACACGAATACTCAATATGCCCAAATGTGAACACTGGTGGAGTTTGGGGAAAATAGAACCTTGACATTTGGGAGTTGTAGTTGCTGGGATTTGTAGTTCACCTACAATCACAGAGCATTCTGAACCCCACCAACGACAGAATTGGGCCAAACCTCCTACACAGAACCCCCATGTGGACCACAGAAACGCATGGCAGGGAATGGCTAGTAATAATAATAATAATAATAATAATAATAATAATAATAATCTTTATTTATACCCCACTACCATCTCAAGGGACTCGGTGCGGCTTACATAAGGCTGAGCCCATAATACAACAATAAAAGCAATAACAAAAACAATACAAGCAATTAAAATCAAACAGAACAATAAAACAATAAAATAACATAACATAAGTAGGACAACACACTTTAAAATCTATGGGTAGGCCGAATGTAATTAAATTTTTTAAAAAAATAATGCTGGACATGGCCAAAAAAGTGATGGGGCATTTGTGGAAACACAGAAGCAGACCTAAAACAATATAAAGTGCTTTGGAGGACAAAGTGCGATGGGATCATTATTCTGGGAAGGCACACTGGAACTAGTGGGGTTTATATATCTGTGGAATGATGTCCAGGGTGGGAAAAAGAACTCTTGTCTGTTTGAGTCAAGTGTGAATGTTACAATTGGCCAGCTTGATTAGCATTGAATGGCCTTGCAGCTTCAAAGCCTGGCTGCTTCCTGCCTGGAGGGAATCCTTTGTTGGGAGGTGTTAGGAAGGCCATTCAATGCTAATTAAGTCTGTCAACTGCAGAAAGCTTACCCACGGTGAAGATTGGTTTCCGATACGGAAGCAAGCCGAAGCTGTACTGGAAGATTCCTCTGGCGTGGAAGAGTGGAAGGGAGACGCCCATGAACCGCTGCAAGACTTCTTGGGTGCATCTCAGCCAGGAACCTGGAGGGTTCTCCACTTGATCAAACAACTCATTCTCTCCAAAGGAGAAGACTGGGACAAGCGAGGCACTGGAAGAAGTGGAAGAAGTGGAAGGAAAGAAGGAAGGGAGGGAGGGAGGGAGGGAGGGAGGGAGGAAGGAAGGAAGGAAGGAAGGAAGGAAGGAAGGAAGGAAGGAAGGAAGGAAGGAAAAAACAAAAGAAGGGAAGAAGAGAAATGTGTTTCACAGAAAATTCAGGCTATGGTGTCCGAGGAACACAGCTTGGAAAAGTCACCTCTGTGCTTACAATTTCCTACTGCAGGATTTTGGAATCTACAGTCCAAAACAGGGATGTCGTTCTTCACTAAGGGTGCATCTACACTGTAGATAAATGCAGTTTGAACTCATTTTAATTGCCTTGGCACAATGCTATGGAAACCTGGGACTTTTGTATGTGATGTCACCTCCATCCCTCCTTGGGTCTCACCTTTTGGCCCTGAAATCTTAGGTCCTGAGATGGTCCTCACTTTGCCACCTTACCCATGTTGTAAGGCCTGCCGGACAAAGCCCTTCCGGTTGGCCAGCAGTAAGGTGAACGCTCCAGGCCGAGCGTCCAAGGCTTCTCTCGCTCCTCCGACGGCAATGATGAGCACATTCCCACCTCCGGGCTTCCTTAGGATGTGGGCAGCAGACTCCCTCTCAGAGGCCACCAAACCTGGGTTAGGAAATGCAAGAGACAGAGAGCAAAGTGTTCAAGCTGTTTGCAAAGTGTTCAAGCTGAACTTGGGGCCTGAACTATCTTCTCCATTGGGTTGTTGTAGGTTTTTTCGGGCTATATGGCCATGTTCTAGAGGCATTTTCTCCTGACATTTCGCCTGCATCTATGGCAAACATCCTCAGAGGTGGTGACGTCTGTTGGAACTAGGAAAAAAGGATTATATATCTGTTGAATGACCAGGGTGGGAAAAAGAACTCTTGTCTGTTGGAGCTAGGTGTGAATGTTTCAACTGACCACCTTGATTAGCATTTGATTGCCTGGCAGTGCCTGGAGCAATCTTTTGTTGAGAGGGCTGAGAGGCAGTGTTCCAGGCACTGCCAGGCAATCAAATGGTAATCAAGGTGGTCAGTTGAAACATTCACACCTAACTCCAACAGACATGAGTCCTTTGTCCCACCCTGGTCATTCCACAGATATATAAACCCCTTTTTTCTAGTTCCAACAGATGTCACTACCTCTGAGGATGCTTGCCATAGATGCAGGTGAAACGTCAGGAGAAAATGCCTCCAGAACATGGCCATATAGCCCGAAAAAACCTACAACAACCCAGTGATTCTGGCTATGAAAGCCTTCAGCAATATATCTTCTCCATTTCTCAGATGAGACAAAGGAGAAGAGAAGATGGAGAGGGGACATTTACATCTGATGGGATGCCATGTCGAAGATGGAGCTTGCTTCTTATCTGCTGCTTTGGGAAACAAACTGATAGATTAAAATGCATGAAAAGAAATTCCACCTAAATATGTGGAAGTATTTCTTGGTTGGGATTGGATTCTCCTTCTTTGAGTGTCTTTTAAACATTTTAGATTAGTGTCTTTTGGGAATGCTTTAGTCAGTGGCGGAGTGGGTTAAAAAACTGAGCTGCTTGTTGACAGAAAATGTATTGTTGAAGGCTTCCTTATGGCTGGAATCACTGGGTTGTTGTAGATTTTTCGGGATATATGGCCATGTTCTAGCAGCATTCTCTTCTGATGTTTCTCCTGCATCTATGGCAGGCATCCTCAGAGGTTGTGAGGTCTGAGGATGCCCGCCATAGATGCAGGCGAAACGTCAGGAGGGAATGCTTCTAGAACACGGCCATATTGCCCAAAAGGCCTACAGCAACCCAATTAAAAGTTGAAAAGAGAGTGATAGGCAGAATGAAATGGTGACAGACACACAAAACAAGGCAACTTAGTTCTTCACAATCATCAGTTTGAAGCCATATAAGGAGGGAAGAAGTCTATAAATGCTCAGGGAGGCTATTCCAAGAATATGGTGCAGCAAGCCAGAAAGGAAGAAGCCTATCCAAGGGAGACAGGTGCACAACCTTCTGTCTTCTGCCTGCTGCTCAAACAAACACAAACAACCTGTTGACAGAAAGATTGCAGGTTCAAATCCGGGCAGCGGCGTGAGCTTCTGCTGTCAGCCCCTGCTTCTGTCAACCTAGCAGTTCAAAAACATGCAAATGTGAGTAGATCCATAGGTACTGCTCTGGCAGGAAGGTAACAATGCTCCATGCAGTCATGCCGGACACATGACCTTGGGGGTGTCTACGGACAATGGCGGCTCTTTGGCTTAGAAATGGAGATGAGAACCACCCCCCAGAGTCGGGCACGACTGGACTTAATGTCAGGGGAAAACCTTTACCATTACCTTAACTTCCATTCAATGAAGACTCTCTTCCTTTCCAAAGTATTCTTATTGTAACTATCAGGAGAGACGGCATCACAAGACAATTTTTTGTAAAGACTGGAAGGACTCTCTATAGTTGCCTATCGAAAGGACCACATTCCAGTTGCTCCTGGGATCATAAATCACACTCATCTTCTCAAAACCCAGATTTTTCCTCCTTTCCCAAGACCTTGGAGGCAATTGCCATTTATTGCCCCCTGATTGCACCTTGCCAGATGACTCCTATACATGCACATTGAACAGTATCACAAGAAACACATGTCCCCATTTGTTCCTCAGTGCTATGACTACAAGACATCAGGCAGGGGGCTGGACTAGATGACTCTGGGGGACCCTTCTGTAGCGAAATTGCTACTCTATGTTAAATTTTTGGTGTATAGCTTTATGTTTACATATGGCATATAGGGAAGAATAGGCACAGACAGGGTAGCAACAGCAGAGATAGGATTCATTTGCATATGGAAGCCGATTGGTCATATGCAGATTAGCGTAGGCCCAGGATTTGAAAAGGTTGCTAGGCCAAAATGACAGTTGGGAAGAGCAGAGCTAAACATTCCAAAGGGGCGGAGCCAAAGTTTTAAAATAGGCAGTTAGAGAGTCAAAAGAGTTAGTTAGGAATTGCTGTTTGTGAAGAGAGTTAGGGATTCCTGTTTGTGAGAGACAGTTAGGAACTTCTGTGAGAGAAAAGAGTTAGGAACTCCTGTTAGAAATAAGCAGTTATGAAGATGTGTTAAAGACTTCTGATATATAGAAGCAGTTAGTTAAATAGAGCTCAAGTTTTAGGAACATAAAGAAAGCCAGTGGTGCTTTAGTCAGAAAATAATTTCAGTCAGGAGTGTGTAAAGCAAGTAACATGTTTGTGAATGTGAAACATTGAAAGTCTATTTCAGAAAAAGTAAACCAAGTACATTATACTGACTGCAAGCCTCAAGATTGCAACAAAACACAAATGTAACCATAAGCATTGGAGCCAGAAGTTATAAATAAACTGTGTTACTTAGTTATACAGAAGAGTGTCTCATTGTCTGTACAAAGGTTAAACACCTTCCGGGTTTGAAAAAGTGTTTTGATATCGATTCGTAAATGCTAAAAATAACGAATGTTTAACGAATAACAAAATTAACGAACGAAACCGCACAGGCCTATTAAACAGCACACAGAAAGCCCCAGCCAAGATAAAAGAAGAAATGGAATCATTATAAGAGTAAAGAGGTTTTTCTTAAATAAAGAAATAGTCTACCTCCCTCGCTACACCTTCCAACTCTGTTATGCCTTACCTCCACTCATGACATAGTCTCGAAAGAATGGGGCTCTGAACCAAAGATCCAGCAGCATCAGGTGAGGGCTCAGGCCTCTAAACATCTTGGAAAATCCTGTGGCTTCAGTGCAGAAGTTGACAAAAGCTCCGGCCACCAGGATCCCATGGGGATGGAAGCCAAAGACGTAGTTCTTGGCAGGATCCAAATCCACGGTTTTCACCAACTGTAAGATCAAAGACCATGTTCAGTTCTTTCAGACTCTGTGGAGAAAGTGGGCGCTTACCCACTGGAACACGCTTTCTTCAAAAGGTGTGAGAAATTGTGGCTGATTCACACAATTATTGGATTACTGGATGCTTGCCCTGTCTAGGTACTATACTTAGAAATGTACATATATAGGATGGGTTAAAAACAGTCCATATGAAAGGGATCTAGGAGTCTAAGTAGCCCACAAGGTGAACATAAGTCAACAGTGTAGTGCAGCAGCTAAAAATGCCAACCCTATTTTAAGGCTGTGGTGCAGTTAGCTGAGACCTAGCTGCATTACATCACTACTGGCTGAGAGGTCATGAGTTCAAAGCCAGCCCGGGTCAGAGTGAACTTCCGGCCATTCGGCTAGCTTGCTGTTTACCTATGCAGCCTGAAAGACAGTTGCATCTGTCAAATAGGAAATGTAGATATTGCTTATTCGGGGAGGCTAATTTAACTAATTTATGACGCGATAAAAACCTTCCAGCAGCATGCAGAAGAATGAGGAAGTACTCCATCAAAGGACTTGGTGTCACAATGGATGGTGAAGCGGCAGTTCCCCCTGTAGTCAGAATCAAGCTGGAATCCGTCATACCCTCATGAAGCCGGAAAAAGCTTGGGCACAGCTGGAATGTTAAATTGCCTTTGTGACTGTCTATATATGTTGTATGTCTAACTGGCATTGAATGTTTGCCATGTATATGTGCATTGTGATCCACCCGGAGTCCTCTGCTGTTGCACACCAAGGCTGTGGAAGGCACCTTTGAACCCACAAACACACCAATGTTCTTTAATAAGCAAAGCAGTTTATTGAAGATTAAAATAGCAATTGAGAAAAAGGTAAAAAGCATTCAAACAGAAAATAGAAAAATGTCCACAAAACAATCCTAAAAGCAATGTAATGATGTCCAGGCAAAATCCAAGTCAAGAAACAGAAATAGTCCCAAAATCCAAATGACTAAGTCTACAGGAAAATAGTCTTTCAGTCCAAAAGTTTGCAAAGACCAAAGTCCCTTGAAGAAACAGGAGCAAACTTGAACCAAACAATCCAAATGCAAGAGCTTGAAATCAGGATAAAACAACTTACAAAAATCTCAGCCTGAACATGGATATAAAGCAAAATTATACATGATCTTGGAGTCCTTGTGGACAACAAGTTAAACATGATCCAACAATGTGATGTGGAGGCAAAAAAAGCCAATGGGATTTTGGCCTGCATCACTAGTATATTATTTATTTATTTATTTATTTATTTAACTTATATACTGCTGTTCTCAGCCCGAAGGCGACTCGCATAATGTCTAGATCCAGAGAAGTCATGCTCCCCATGCTCTATTCTGCCTTGGTCAGACCACACCTGGAATATTGTGTCCAATTCTGGGCACCACAATTGAAGAGAGATATTGACAAGCTGGAAAGTGTTCAGAGGAGGGCGACTAAAATGATCTAGGGTCTGGAGAACAAGCCCTATGAGGAGTGGCTTAAAGAGCTGGGCATGTTTAGCCTGAAGAAGACAAGGCTGAGAGGAGACATGATAGTCATGTATAAATATGTGAGAGGAAGCCACAGGGAGGAGGGAGCAAGCTTGTTTTCTGCTGCCCTGGAGACTAGGACGCAATGGAACAATGGCTTCAAACTACAAGAAAGGAGATTCCACCTGAACATTAGGAAGACCTTCCTGACTGTGAGAGCCGTTCAGCAGTGGAACTCTCTGCCCTGGAGTGTGGTGGAGGCTCCTTATTTGGAGGCTTTTAAACAGAGGCTGAATGGCCATCTGTCAGGGGTGATTTGAATGCAATGTTCCTGCTTCTTGGCAGAATGGGGTTGGCCTGGATGGCCATGAGGTCTCTTCCAACTCTATGATTTTATGATTCTGTGAACAAGAAGGCATGGAGCAGGCATGAAAACGAAACGTTGGACTCACTGAAAAGTATAGATTATTTTTATTCAGAAATCTGCGGCAAAAGCATTCCATTTCCCTTGGGAAACCTCTCCCTGACCCCTTTTCTCTCTTAATCTTACTGAACGCCTCCTCCCTAAATCCAGGTGGCGATCCTGATAAATTTGGCCTTTGCAATCAAAGATTGCCTCCTCTGGTTTGCTCATTAGTACATTCCTTTCACTATCTCTGTCTAACCTTGACTGTTTGGAGCTGGGCATGTTTAGCCTGAAGAAGAGAAGGCTGAGAGGAGAAATGATAGCCATGTATAAATATGTGAAAGGAAGTCACAGGGAGGAGGGAGCAAGTTTGTTTTCTGCTTCCCTGGAGACTAGGACGCAGAACAATGGCTTCAAACTACAAGAGAGGAGATTCCACCTGAACATTAGGAAGAACTTCCTGACTGTGAGAGCCATTCAGCAGTGGAACTCTCTGCCCCGGAGTGTGGTGGAGGCTCCTTCTTTGGAAGCCTTTAAACAGAGGCTGGATGGGGTGCTTTGAATTCAATGTTCCTGCTTCTTGGCAGGGGGTTGGACTGGATGGCCCATGAGGTCTCTTCCGACTTTAGGATTCTATGATTCTATGAACAAGAAGGCAAGGAGCAGGCATGAAAACTAAATGTTGTACTCACTGAAGAGTATAGATTCACAGGCCCTATATTTAATCAGAAAGCCATAGCAAAAGCATTCCGTTTCCCTTGGGAAACCTCTCCCTGACCCCTTTTCTCTCTTAATCTTGCTGAACGCCTCCTCCCTAAATCCAGGTGGCGATCCTGATAAATTTGGCCTTTGCAATCCAAGATTGCCTCCTCTGGTTTGCTCATTAGTACATTCCTTTCACTATCTCTGTCTAACCTTGACTGTTCGGCCTCAGCCTCTTTCTCAGGCTGCCTAAAGACATCTTTGCCTTGTGAACCTACGATCCCAGAATCCTCAGTTTCACTCTGGCTAACTGAATTTTGTTGTTCCTCACCTGCATTCACAAACCACTGAGAATCAACAGGAACCTGATCATTTAAGTCAGACATGAGAACCTCTGAACGGCTATGATTATTCTCCTTTGAGTCCTGTGGCAAAGAGACAATCACAGGCTAAACCCCTACAACTGAGGGGTGAGAAGGGTGGAATATAAATACTGTAAATAAATAAATAAATAAATAAATAAATAGGCTGCATCAATAGGAGTCTAGCATCTAGATCAGAGGTCCTCAAACTTTTTAAACCGGGGGCCAGTTCACTGTCCCTCAGACCGTTGGAGGGCCGGACTACAGTTTTTTTTTTAAATCAATTAAAAAAACTCCTATGCCCATTGGACATATCTTATTTTGCTATGTGGAAGGGTTCTTTCTAGCCCTCTTTAGGCAGTAATTCCAGGAGCAGAGAATGGGAAATCTTCCTATTTCTAGTTTGAACAAAATCTGGCTACCTGTATTAAAAAAAAACTCTAAAATTATAACTGTAAATAAAGAACAACACTCAAACACAGCAGAACTCCAGACAAGAAACAATCAGGGCCAGCTAATCACCTCTCAACAAAGGATTCTCCCTAAAAACTGTCAGGCTATGCAATGGTAATCAAGGTGGCCAATTGAAACATTCATACCTACCTCCAACAGACAAGAGTTCTTTCTCCCACCCTGGATCTTCCACAATTTTCCTAGTTAAAGGTTTTCCTCTGACATGAAGTCCAGTCATGTCTGACTCTGGGGTGTGGTGCTCATCTGCATTTCTAAGTCGAAGAGCCGGCGTTGTCCGTAGACACCTCCAAGGTCATGTGGCCGGCATGACTGCATGGAGCACCTGGGCAGCCTCCCTTGGCTGGCTCACGCTGCCCATCGGTCCTGACGGTTAGCGTGAGCCTGCCAAAGGAGGAGCAGCCCTGCGCGGCCTACTCGTGCATAAGGCACCTCGTGAGGTGCTTTACGCGTGAGTAGGCCACGCGGAGCAGCTGCCCTTGCCTGGCTCACACTGCCCATTGGGCCTGACGGATAGCGTGAGCCAGCCAAGGGAGGGGCACTGTGTGTGGGGAGGTGCTCCTCCTCCACAGTCCGGATAAGTGCCCTTGGCGGGCCGGAAGTGGCCCGCGGGCCATAGTTTGGGGACCCCTGATCTAGATTGAAGGAGCCCTTGATGGCACAGTGGGTTAAAGTGCTGAGTTGCTGAGCTTGTTGACCGAAAGGTCGCAGGTTTGGATCTGGGGAGTGGTGTGAGCTTCCACTGTCAGCCCCAGCTTCTGCCAACGTAGCAGTTCGAAAACTTGCAAATGTGACTAGATAAACAGGTACCACTCCGGCAGGAAGGTAACAGCGCTTTATGCAGTCATGCTAGCCACATGAACTTGGAGGTGTCTATGGACAATGCCAGCTCTTCTGCTTAGAAATGGAGATGAGCACCACACCCAAGAGTTGGACACGAATGGACTTAATGTAAGGGGAAAACCTTTACCTTTATCTATCTAGATTGAGGGGAGTCATAATGACACTCCCTTCTGCTTTGAGGACAGGCCTAGCAACCTTAGCGGTAAGCGATGTGACATTTGGGGCGAGTTATAATTCCCTGCAATGTAATTTTGTAGATTCTGGAACCGAAATCGCACTGTTGACAAGTACTTTTCTTTATTTTATTTGGGCCAAAGAGAAAAGAGATGGCATGAAAAAAAAATATATTTCGGAAGCTGCAAAAATGAGGCTGTTGCCCATATCGGGAAGCTATTAAAAACAACAGCATCATCGTCATGTGAGCTACTGCAATCTATCTTGAAACTAGCAACCGTGGATGGAGCAGCTATTATTAGGCAGGTCCCGTCCTTAAGGTTTTTCTTGCCGCCGTGGATTTTCCATCTGGTCCCGAGCGCCGAGTGTTGACTGTACTCATCAAGCACCTTCTCCTAATGAATTAAAGCTGAGAACAAAGTGTCTCTTTTTGCTGCTTCAGTGCAACAGGGAGGCTAGATTTGCTGATGGCCTCTGTTCTCCGAGGGATAAGAGCTCCATAATTTCCAACGTGGACCATTTTTGCTTTCCATCACGGATCCCT